CTCCATGTTGGACTTTTCACTTTAGAAAGTTCCTGCGAGAGTCATCAGGACTCCTTACGATTCCTGCTGGAGTTTTTCATAAACTTGGGACTCCCGTTGGAGTTTTGCCGGGAGTCTCGACTAGGGAGGTTATCTCAAAATCTATTGTGGGAGATATGAATGACGTTGTCCTTAGTTGCAGAAGAAGATTAGGAGCTATGTACCGGGTCTGCATAGATACTCCAAATAACATTTGGTCAGCAATTTATAAATCTTCTGTATTAAGCAAACTAGACTATTGTAGTTGTTGTCTGTAACAGTACTCGGTATGGATTTACATTAGATAAAATAACCAAACTAGAAGCAAGGTTACTATGTAAGAAATTAAAGTGAACTTGTTAAAAAGCTGTATTTACTGGATTTAGCAGTTAGACGTAAATATTTTCGCTTTATCAACAATTACCTCAGCTTTTATCGAACCTTTGCAAGGGCACCGAATTGACAGACTGAATCAATATAGAATGAATTTCCAGTAAGTAAACATTCCAGTGGTAACAAAAACCCATACCGCAGCCTGTTTTTTCTACCAAACAGCATAGACTGGAATGTGTCGGTGGAAAAAATTGTTTCTTCTAGTACGTTAGATCAGTTTAAAAATGCCATTAAAGTTTATTTACAGTTATTTTTTACTCATCAGTGTTTTTGTATTATTTTTCTTTCTTTTTTCAGTTGCGGTTGGTTTTATTCCTCCGTTTTCCTAAGGTGGCACTATCTTTCGTTATAAGTTGTATTTACTTTTTGTGCTTTTGCATTTTCTCCCTTTCTAGATTATATATCTTGTTGTGAAAATAAATTTTCCCAAGTTCAAGAATTCAAATATCAAAGAGAAGATTACGTACCAAAGAATAACAGTTAAGTCAAATTATTACAGACGAAAATAAATAATTCGATTACTATTACTAAACTGTTAAATAAATTCCAAATCACTAATTTTCTTGTAGAACGTTATAGTGGGTATTAGTTTATAGCTTTTATCATTTCTGTCTTAATAACAGATGTCGCCATTTGCACCGATATAGAAGTATTAGAAAGGACTTCTGGAACATCAATAGGGCAACGGTCTATCAGAAACCAATCGTGAAATTTTATAGTCACAAAAGACATCGATAATGAGGTAACACTTAGTTTCTTATTCATCTATGAAGCTGTCATGTCGGATGAAAAATTAAGTTTGGCAGCATAGCGCCCTGGAAAAAGAAAACAATACAAAAAATGACTAATATTAAATTTCAAATGTGTGGAGTTTTTTTATTTCGAAGGTTAAACTGATACATGATATATAAAAGTGTTGTAATAAAAAGAAAATAAAGTGCACTTTTTTCTTTTTTGGTTTTTTAAAATAAACATCACATGCTAGAAAAAAAGATGATGTTTTTATTGAAAATTATTTTTAAAAAGCTGTTGTGAAATGAAGGATTTATTAACCCAGTTAGTTTAATTCATAGTGTGATTATTCGCAAGAAAAGGTAATAATGTAGACATTTTGTTTGCACATTTTTAACTCTGATTAAGATAAATATTCCTTTAGCAGATGCTCCCCTTATCGGGAGTGTTAATGGGGGAGGACCTACTAAACAGGTAAGATGGCTGGTCAAATTTCTTAAGGTAAAGAATTTAAGACCTCTGGGTTGACTTTTACACAAAGCAAGCTGTTTGATTTTAGTTTGCAATGTTGTTTTTTCTTTGAATACAATCGATACCTCACAAAAGTCAGAAAAGAAGGCGGTACACAAATTTCTTGCGATGTTTCTTTCTACTCCCATTGTCCCGAACAACGCCATATTCCTCAGAAACGGGCGAGTATGAGTAATTTATATACTCACTCTTCTTGTTTGAAGTACTTCAGTGGTTAATTTAAAAAACATTGACAAATATTTTGACTACATTTTTTAAATCATATTTGATCTTGTCTAAAACATCTGATCGTTTAAAGTAGACAAAGGGATATGGTAATCCAAACTCTTTATTACTGAAAACTGAAAAAACTTTTGCTTTTTTCAAGATACCACTGGTGCACGAGTGAAATTTTTTTGTACATGTACTCAAGCAAAAATATCCGGCACTTGCACTCATAAAAAGTATACTCGCTCAACTCTAATCCGTTTCGTTGTACAGACATGTTTGACAGTCACAAACACGATGCTTTTCATTACAATGAGCTTTTGTTACTTTTGTTGAAAAAACAGATGATAGGCATCTTGGCAATCATGTAAATAAATAGTAATTTGTGCTTTTACGCCCTTCACATGAATATTACGATTGAACGTTGACGGTATCCAAGAAAATGTGATTGTTTCGAGAAGTAACAAAAGAGCAGTCGAGTTGAATATCAGAAAATGTAAATAGTTCTAGATTTATTTAATTGATAGCTATTTGTTCTATTCAATTGTCAATGGAAGATCCACTACCTTGCTCTTGAAATTTTATTGTTATTTTATGGTTATATTTCTATTTAGTTGAAGCGCGCCGTGCATTTGATCGCCATTCTATGGCCACTTTATTATCATCAATGTCGAATACCGCCTATTTATTAACTCCTAAAAATGATTTATCATCGTCTGATTCACAACTCATTGATATTCTATTAAATGGTAGTCATGATCAAATTGTTCAGTTTATAAATCGTTGGTGTAAACAACAACGTCGTTCTCGTTTACAGACCATTGTCGATTCTTCTCAACGATATGATATATTTTTATCACTCATTAATACTCTCATTCAAACTCAAAATAGTGAATATCAATTGAACTGTTTGCAATTATTACTTGAATTAAACATCTTACATCATCAAAATTATGATCAACGTACATATTTACCAGCTATTTTAAAATGTCTAGCATCACCATCAACAGATGTTAATCAATTATGTTTACAAATATTAACAAAACAAATTCAAACTACGCACGATATTTCCACTTATTTACACATCTATATCCAAGATGGACTTAAATCACAACAAACACGAATAGTAGTTAAATCGATTCAATACTTAAAAGATATTATCACGAAACAATTACAATATGAAAATTTATCACCCATTGTTGAATTATTACTAAAATGTTTAAATGAAAGTACATTTCGTTTAACCTATGAACAGATTCTTGTGGATGCCGTTAGACATATGAAAAATATTCTCGGAAATGATTTGTTTATTACTTATTTAGATACATATTCAAGTACTTTAAGAAAAGCTTATTTTACACACGTAAAAGAAACAAATAATAATAACGGTGAGGATGAGGATGGCGGAAATGATACTAATTTAGATGATACAGACGAAGATGAAACACCAAGAGCAACCATCAACGAAAAAGTGCCATATTTTCATTCAGGTAGTCCGACTAAAATAGTGAGATCCACAGTAGATAAAGTGACTAGTCAAATTTTAGATGCGCTCTCTAGTGGAACTTCTTATGCTGAAGATCTTGGATTTTTGAATCTTTCACTATAGATCTTGAGTGGTGTAAGCCAAGATGTTATAATGAAAAGTTTTTTGTTACATTTTCTTTCATATAAGACAGCCATAGCTATTAGATTTACAATTATGTGTAGTTATAGACTTTCTTAAACAGCCACGTCGAAGCAACGAAAAATCTCGATGTTATTCTATATATGAAAATGTTCGCATGTAGATGTAAACAAGAGAGCGAAAAAAAAGGATGATTTAAAAAATCATCAAGTTACTGGTTAAAATAAGTTCCACTAGGGGAAGATATTGTTTCTAAAAGAATATTAAAATTCTTTATGAACTAAAGATAATTGTAGAGTCATTAGTAACATGAATTTTAAATATTACTAAATATTGTTATTTATTTGATGAACTGAATAAATTTGTTTTTCCAATTGCGTTTTTCATTATAAAAAAAGCTCAAACTTTGGAATTTTCATATTTATATAAAATTGTGACAATGGAATAGATTCTCTCTAGATATGTTAAAATTTTACCACTCAAAGTGTTTTAATGATTTTCTACGCCTATATTCTCAACAGAAAAGCAGGATCGACAACTGTACCCGTAGTAAGGGCTAGTTTAAATTGTCCATACTTAAACTTTTCTGTGACAAAAAAAGCGATTGTAAAACAAATTTATTCTATAGGAATTTTTATTATCTCAGAATTTCTTTTCGTATGTGACATTTATGTCACTCAAAAAATCATATGATATTTGGCATTGAATAACTTTGCTATCTTTTATTTTTAGTTTCAAATGGTTTTAAACTAAACGGTGTGCACAATTTGTCTCCATATTTGAGTAGTGGTAATGGTGAAAATTCCCTACAATTACGTAATAAGCCATCCACTACTACTACCAATGATATTGGTGATAATGAGTTTAATCAAATTGTTGAATTAATTAAAACAAAATGGTTAAGTTTAAATGAAACAACACGTTTACAATATTTAGAAAAATTTAAATTAACATATGAAAAACAAGCAATAGCCATTAAAACTCAAGAAGCAACAGATAAAACTGATCAAAATATTCCACAAATATTTTTAACATTTTTAACAACTATTATAGATCTTCTTGTTTATATTACATCATCAACAATTGATATATCAATTAAAATTAAAATACATCTTTGTTCATGTTTAATGTGGTTGATTAAAAATTTGAAGAATCAATGTAAAAAAGATTATAAACAAATCTGTACAATATTTAAAAATATTTTATGTAATGGAAATTCAAATAATCGACAATTAGCAGTAAGTAAATATAGTACAGAGTATTGAGAAATATGTGTATAATTTCTAAAAATTATTAATTAAATGTTTAAACTTGTTATATATCTTTGTATATTTTTTTTGTTTATTTTTAGAAATTATCTGTTAGTTTAGTATTAATATTAGAAAATTATGTTCATCCACAATTAGTTTTAAATGAATTAATTGACAATGATATATTTGATTCTTATACATATCGTAGTCAATTAGAAATGTTAGCAATTGTTACGGCAACATTACTTAAATATCGTCATCAAAAATATGATCAACTATTTTCAATATGTAAACGTTTTTTTCCATTATTAATAACGAATCGTCGTGAATTACGACATGGAGCAATTGAATGTTTTACAGTTATTTGTTATTATATGAATCAATATAAAAAAATACCGTTAATTATTGATATGGTTAATCCACAATTAAAATTATTATTTCAAACAATTGAACAATTACCATTAAATGGACATGAAGCTGCACTTGCTCTCAAATATCGATTACAAAGAAATATTTTACCTGTATTAACTGATGAAGGAAATATTACGCCAGGTATCGTTCTTAGTGATCAATCAATGATAAATGATCCAGATGTTAAATTTATATTGTCTGCTAATCTACAACCATCACCCTCTCCAGCTTTATATCAACAACAACAACGAATATTACAGAATAATAATAATAATAATAATAATAATTCAAAATTGTTACACTTAGCCATGCCATTTGTCCCAAAATCAATTATAAAAAATAGTTCACCAACAAATGAGGTAAACATTTCTTTTTTATTTTTCTAAATGTTTATTATTGAAAAAACATCTGTTGACTCTAGGATAAAAACTATTAGGGGAGTGAAAAGGACGCAAAATAAGTGAAATAGCGAAGGTTAGAGGTAAGTGTATGATCTTTCTGACAAAAGTTTCACCTACGTTTTCAGAATCATAGGTTTCCATGATTATTTCTTCATGATTATGATGTATATTCGATAGAAATATTATAGTAGAAAGAGCGATCCTTAGTTCATCATCCTCACTCTTCTACGTATGTTTCAATCTTGAGTGCTCGTCCTAAATTAATTTCCCGAACCATACAATAGTTAACCTTCATACTTTGGGTGGATAGTCTACAGATACTGCAGAGCCTTCGATGCGAATTGAAAGTTAAAATGATACTTCTAGACGGAATTGTGAATTTTTTTCGCAAAGAACCTCGAATTTTCAAGAAAAAAAAGCCAACCTCGCCCGTAAAATAGCTGTATTTCACTGATTACTAACAGCCAACTCACGAAATTCATATCGTTGATAGAGTAGAGTCGTGGTTGCATTTTTTTATAAAAAGAAAAAGTTTTCATCTCTCTCAGATCACGAGCTATTGATATTTTACGGAAAAGGAATAAATCGCTTTTATATCTTATGAACCATCCAGTAAAAGCGCCTCAAAGTTGGTAGGTGATCAGCCTTCAGTAAGAGCTATGATCACATAAAATTAGAAGTCCCTACCTATCATAGTGCTTGAGTTGCAAGGATGTCGCTACTTTTGCGGGATTATTTTTATTTTTTCAAAAAATAATCTTGTACTCAAAGGGTTAAGTGTAACTCAGAAAATAATGTAATTTTCTTTTTCTTGAATACTTTGATGATTATTTAATTTAGCACTTAGAATTGAGTGTATTAAAAATAATTATTTTTAGTGGTCAGATCGACTGAAAAACCTTGGTCCCGACCATGTCTAGTTATAATGCAGTTATAAATACATTCACCGTAAACTCTTTCATCTAGTAAAAGGTTTATTTATAAATTGAAATGGGAATGTATGCATCAATGAAACTTTTAGAACAAAGAGTAAACGCTTTTGAGCGAATGATATACAAACAAACATTTATATTAATTATAAAAGAAAAAGTCTTTGCGTGCGTGTGTTTTTTCACATGTATCATATTAAAGAGAATGATATGAAAAACTTATTGGCTAAAAATGTTCTTTTTGACTATCCGTCACAGATTCTCATTGTTCTTTTCTCTCCGTTTTTTTTTTTTTCTCATGTTTATTAATGAAGTGATTATGCTAATTGCCGAAACTCTATATATCCATCTGCATAATGCATTGGAAAATAGAAACTATTGTACATTACAGTGTATTTTTTGTTTAAAAAAAAGATTGACTGATTGATTTTTCTTCTTTAAATATCAATTGTGTTGTGCAGCTAATTGGTAATGTATCCTTTTCGTTTGTTTTTTTGGGTTGAAGTTGCATCTACGACTGTGTCATAATTTCAGTTTAATATTTGTTTTAAATCTATTTCAATCGTCTTTTCGTGCCGATATTATTGTTTAACAGTCCTCATGATATTACTACTAAGATGAAAGGTATATTGAATAGAAGCAATAAATTCACTTGATTACCTGTAAATCAGACTCGAAGTTCATTTAAATAATTTTTAATACTCTTCATATTTGTACAGTGTTCTCGGTGCTGATATTAGATCTACACTACTTCTTTTATTGTTATAAATAATATTTGCAAGAGAAAATGGAATTTTAAGCTTCAAAGAACACCTTATTAATGTATTTCATAAATCTATATCTGTCAAAATCATATTACGTGATTATTATTTATTGTTCTTTTCTTTATATTTGGTGAAGTTTTGAAAAATAGAAAATATTTTACCTTTTTTTATTATATGTAGTGATGTACATACTCTTTTAAAGATTTGATATTTAGTTAGAATTGATTGGTTTCTGTAACTAATGACGCTGCAGTGAGGTCAATATTAGGTCATGTGAAGAAGCTGCTATTAAAATATATTCAATTCTATTCAATACGTCTTCTAAATTATTCAGATGGTCTCAAGGAAGATTGAATATCAAGTTCAATTGATTGATGTGTTCTTGTTTGTATGGAGACTTGTCAATATTTGTTGTTACTATTGACTTGCAATATTTCGGTATAGATAACGGTGAAATTTTTAGCTGATGCCATCGGTCAAATATCTTAACGAAAATTTTATCATCAATTTTTTTCTTAAAAAATTGAAACAAGAATAGTCAGACAAGTGGTGATCGATTTGATGCACTTACGGATCAAATTATCACAACTCTGTATTTTTCTGTTTTGAACGTGCTCTAAGCCAAACTAAGGCATTTGATTTTTTTTTTAGTTTATTCAAACTTTTCAACTGGTAAACGCGCTTCGTTTCAGTTTTTCTCAACCGAGTCTAACTATGGTAATGTCTGTGTTTGTGAATACTCTTTATCGGATTCATTCGACTTCCTGTTGCTGATTTTGGACTCTTTCTGAATATCTCTGCATTTTTAAAACTATTCTTATATTAACGATTGATAAACGAGTTTGTCGATTATTTAATCTGGGTGGTACGAACGAGATCTGTTTTTCGAACACAAATTTTCAGAATATGTATCTATGAGATTCTTTTTGATGCCAGAAAATATAAAAAAATTAACATTAAATATATTCGTGGTATCTCCTGTGGATACAGTTAAAACATTCGTTCATAGGTGTGTGAGCACTTTTATGGTCTTATACGTTCATTTTAATAATTATCTCATATAAGCGGTAGTCGAAATTGTTCAACTGATGTTTCGAAAATCAAATGTGAGTCATAGTCGTTTAAAATGGAACATTTTGATGAAAAAAACTTGTTAGTTTTCAAGTTTAACTATTGTTAAAATAGTTGAATCTAAAAAAATTAAAAATCAGAAGTTTCGGACAGGGTATCATTCGGATTTTAAAGTAAAATCAAACATTTTTGCCTTTAAAATATCCATTGATTAACTTTCACAGTAGACAGTGCAAAGGTCTCTTCATAGAGCTTCACTTTCATTTATCCTGTTATTTGTAAATCATTATTTGAGATGTTAGCTTTTTTTAACTTTGTGTCAATATATATACAAGTAAATCGACTTCTCTTCAATACATGACTTTCTTTTGTCATTACGCATTTTTTCTCAGCTGACGTTATAAACTTCAACAGTAGAAAAAAAGAATTAGATGTCTGACGTTTTTTTTTGTCTTCTTACAGAATAAATGGATTGTTTTTTTATCAAAACAAAGTTTTGGTTTCTCTTTTTACTTTTTTTTCGACACAAAAAAAAAAAGAAGAAAAAAACCCTCGAATATACAAAAAATCAATAAATTTTAGTCGTCTACCACCTGTCCAATCTTACCACAAAACGTTCTACCTTTTATTTGTAAAGTTTTAGTGTTTTCTATATTTACTCATCCAATAGAGGAATTTTTTGAGTATTATTTATCTTTCAAAAAATAAAGACATATTTTTTTTTCTCCTGGAATATGAGATGTATGATGTTTAAAAAATACCTACGATGGTCTTGTCCAAATGATTTTTGAATTCGATGATTAGTTTATAGCATATTTGAAGTCTCAATAAAAAAAAGACGTATTTTTTTTTTTATTAACAGAAAAAAACAACGCCTCTTGATCTGTTAGTTTTCGATGAAATTTTAGAAAATAGATCAAAATCAAAAGTTAATTAATATTTAAATTTAATAACTTTGAATATTTTGTTGTAGTTTTAACACATTATTTTTTTTCACATAAAATTCTAATCTAAGATCAGATGACTCTAGTCAAATTTTCTAAAAAAACTTAACTCTTAGATACTTTAAATATTTGACAAAAAAAAGGATATCAAACTTGTTTAACCTTTTATTGTCGATTATCTCGATCGTCCTATAATTTAAGATTAGATTTTAAATATAATTCCGGAAATTAATCACTTAGATGATGAAAAAAAAAGAAAGCATTAAGGAAAAACAAAATAAGATAAAGTGTCATAAAAATTTGCCAGTTTTTATTTTTCCGTTATGCTTAACGCTTGCATAAATTATCTTTTATTTTTGTTACCTGTTACTAAAGAAAATGAGAAAGTTTGCTTTTTCATGTTCTTCTTGTATGCTAATGATCATCAACATCAAAAGTGATGAGGTAGAAAAGTATTTTTTTTTTTTTTTCTTTAAGAAAAACAAAACAGGAATGAATGAAAAGACAAACACATAACAAAAGAAAAAATACTAATGAAACCATGCGACAATGTTTTTAGTTGTTATATAGATTTCAAAAATTTTCTTTCTTTAAAAAAAAAAACATAGAATTCTATACCTATGTCATATGAGATCATATTTGATATATCAAAAATTAAACTAGAAAAGAAAAAAAAAAAGGGCGAGAAAACGTTTTTTGATTAAAATCTCTTTTCATATAACTACTGCATGTGTTATTAAATGAACAATGAAAAGTAAAGGAAAAAAAAGTTATAAAATAAAAAATAAAAAATATTATTAATTCGCGTGTGCATCAAGTATTTTCTTTTCACAAAAAAAAAAAGAGAAGTGCCCTTGCCTAAATAAATGTGTGTGAATTTTTCAATAAGCCAGTGGATGAAAAATGAATCAATGCAATTTTATTATTTTCTTTTTCTATCCATTTAAAATATGATATCCATTAAGTGATTAAATCTATATCATATCTAATCATGTTGTTTAATGATGAAGATCTATTTTATTGGCATAGGCCATCATTATTGGTAAGTTAATTATTTTAGAGTAAAATATCTCAGTTTTAGAAGATATTAAATAGTAAGTTATTAAACTTAATGTTACAGTCAGAACTGCTAATTAAGAGAAAAATATAAATGATTTCTAATAAAAAGAAGTCATCGTTTGATGTCAGAAAATTGAAGATACAACTAACTACAAACGTTGAATTATTATCACTATATTTTCTAAATCTTTCCTTTTAAAAATAAATACAAATGGCCATTGTCTAGCTATTTTGCTTCTTTGATCATTATTTTTTGTATATAAGTTGTAATGCATATGTCATAATGAACAATCTTCGACTAAACTAGGTTACTCTATTTAATTATCGATGTGTATATGTGTGTGTGTATATTTTTTCTCAAAATAAAATTTTCAATCGATTTGTTTGTTTTCTACTATCATACGTGCATTCAAAATCAGCACGTCTTACTTTTCTTTCTTCTCATATTCAAAAAAAAAAAAAATGATTAAATTGTTTTATAAACGAAATTTGATCTAACTATGTAATTTTTTTTTGTACTTAGCGCAAACATTATCTGCAATTTTACCGAACAAAAACTGCTTCATTCCATTTTTTAATGGTATATGTTCAATCATTGAAGAATTTTGTCTTACATAGTTCATCAAATTAAATCTGGAAATTTTCTCTTGTATTTACTACTTTTTCTAATGCGTTCAATGTTTGATCTTTCTATTAGGCTAAGAATATTTGCTGTAGACAGTCAATGGTAGAAGTTGTCAAACTTTTACTTGTAAATTTTATGTTCTTTATTGACTAAAACCAAGAGGCTTCGAAGGCACGGTTTGAATCACATCTTTCATCATATGATTTCTGATCTAGAAGACAGTTAGTTTAATCTATGTTATGGTGTGGTAACATAACGATTCAATTCTATTGGTGAATGTCTGTTAACGATAGAATGTACAATGGAACTGTCTATCAAAAATTGATAGTTTTTGTGAAAATATTATCAAGTTGAATAAAAACATTGATGAACAGATTGTTTCTAATAATAGCTGCAACTCGAATGACTGAAGAAGCAGTCCTTCAGCACTTTTTCTTTTCTCACGCTTAGCTGAACTATCATCCAGAAAAATATGTCCTGCTGATCTATCCTCTAAAAATAACACGTAAAGTTCATTAGATATTGTTATCGCATACATTTCTCGACTAGTACTATAAAAAACTACTTGGATTTTGACTTTTTCGTCGTATTTTTTTTATGCGGATCTTCTAAAAATCCCAACAAAACTCTATCTTCCCATTAAATGTTACATATGAACAAACCTTAAATTTGTGTTAAACATGATAATTTATACATAATTAAGTATTCATAAAGATTACCTAAAACAAGAAATTAATTTTGTCAAAAATTGATGAGATTTCATGATATGATTACTGGACCTCCAGTACAAAAATGTTGTCAAAAATCTTTTCATTCTACATTTCTTTAGGGGTGAGAGTTGGAAGTTCGATATTCACAAGCGATATCCCCGACGTTGAGGGTATTGAAAACGTACTGAGCAACAAGTTTTGGCCAACTTGATCGGCCCAGCATTTTTCATAGTAGAGGACTATCTGTATCATGTAAACTTGTAGAGTTATAAGTAATTTTCTGAAAAACAGTTTTGAACGTTTCTATGTTGATCTTCGATCTCTTTGGATCATTCTGATATAAATATGTGTGTAAATGTTCCCTCATGAGCTAGAGAGTCAGTATTAACGGCGAAAGTGTTAATAGTATCTGAGTAATAAGATAGATCATTATCAATTGGTTTTGATCAAGGAGATGTATAAAACATATCAGTGTATATAACTACGATGACGGCTAACAAAATCTGGGTAGAAAACAGCTTTATCACCTGAGAAATGTCAGCATGGGATCTACTATAGAGTTATAGATGTTAGTTCTATTGTACCGAATAGAGAAATTTTATTTAACTTATTAAACCAGCTTATTTGAAATTCTTTCGAGAACGTCTAAATTCTAACCCTACACGCACTGACCCTTAAACTGTTGAACTATCATTATGACCAATGAAAACAGTTTGATGATCAAGTCGTGGCTGTTGATGTCAATACGGCTTAGCCACGTCAATCTGCTACCGCAGTGTAATTCCGTCACGGTTTTTCTGTATTTTGTTTCTCTTACAGTTTTCGAACCAACATACTGCCACAGCTTTGAAACATCTTAAATTAAAGAGAAAAGTGTGCTCAATATTTGCCATGTTCCCATACTCTACGCGTTCTTCTGTTTAGTAAATATTACAAAAATACAAACTACTACCATGAGAACATCGTGACTCAGTCGACTAGTGGGCAGACAACGTATTTCAAACATACGGAGTTCGAATCCCGGCAACGGCGGTCGCGTGATAGTCTTGGACAAGCTATCTAATGCTCATTGTCTCGGTACCTTTGGATACAGATCCAATGGAGTAACCCGATTTCAGTGCCATTGGACTGGAGAGTTGAAGTTTAAAAAATTTATTGAGCACACTTTCTCTTCAATTTAAGATGTTTCAAAGCTGTGGAAGTATGTTGGCTCGAAAACTGTAAGAGAAACAAAATACAAAAAAACGAGATCGGTCTGATTTGTAAACATCTACAATTGCATAAAATCCAGATGTTCAGATATTCTGACATTCAAATGTTTAGATATTTAGACTTACAGTTCTTCCGATATCTAGATGTTCAGATCTTCAGGTACCGTCCTGTTTTCTTTTACGGTGGCGACTATCAGGGCGGGGCTTATCTTCATCTCTCCACCCCTCCTCCGCCTTTCCTTTCCCCATTTCTAGAAGAATGCATATTTTCAATGTACACTGGAACAAACCAAGATTTTGTAACATTTTGTGCTTTTCTACCTTCTCAGAAAAATACACATTTTGAATATATGAGAGAAAAGCAAGTTTTTCACCATGATTGTATGCCGATTTGTTTTCTTCACTTTTGGAGACCGGTCTGAATATCTAAAGATCTTAATCTTTAATAATCTTTCCCAAAAAAGTCACTAGATTTTTTCAAAAATCATAATTGTGAAAATCAGACCCTACTGAAAAAAATCGTGACAGAATCACACTGCGGTAGGTAGCAGGGTGACATGGACAAGCCAAATAGTACCATGATGGTCGAGATATAATACAAGATTTTGTTGTCCTCTGTGGAGGAGTAGAATGTGAATGATTTACCATTTAATCATCAATAATAGAAGCCCACATGCCTTCCTTATACATAAATAAGAGTTCATTGAAAATGTATAAAATGCATTAAAAAAAGTCATCTATTTATAGTGTTTCTCAATGTTCTTTAATTACTTTCGGAGGATATGCTAGGCATCTATATCATTCATTTCTCTTGCAAATTATTCTATCATTTAAAGTCAATTCTTTTCTTTTCATTTCATGTGATTTATAACAAATCGCACTTTTGCATAGCTATGATGAACATTTATTTTTTCTTTTCGTTTAGGTAATGAGAAGTCGAGAGATACCGCCTCTACGTCCACCAGATACTGACACATTTACTAGCCATCATCATTTTGATACAAATCGTAAGTGTATTTTATTTTAATATTATTTCTATTTCTAAAGAATGCTTGGCGTAAAGTTAACGTTGATAAGAGAGCATACACTAGTTAACATTGTTTGCGTCTCTCTCCATCTTCAGAAGTTTTACCTACTTCTTATCGATTACAATTACACAATTTATCAAATTTCGGTGAACGGTTGGCGACTAATATGAAAAAACAGCATCATCACCGTTCTGCTGGTATGAAAAAATGAAAAATATATCCAAATGAGAAAAAAAATATTTATGTATATTAATTGTCTACTTTAACTTCTTTGTTTATTCTTGAAAACCTGTGGATTTGTTTGCATAGTCTAGATGAAACATCACCATTTCTTCTCAATATTAACCATTATCCTATTAATTATCCTTCTTATGAGATTGTGTGGTCTTTTTTCAACTATTAATTTTAGTTTACCATCGTTACGAAAACATACCTAAGAAACAAATGATATCAACATTTTTATTAACACATTTATGAAGAGAGAAACGTCAAGTCATACGTTATTTCTAAGAATAATTAATTATTGTTTAGTATTTAGAATAGTGTCAATGAACAATGTGGCTAAAGAGAGGCAAAAGATTAAAAAGAAAAATACATCACTATTAGTTTGTTTCAGTAAAATGAATCACTTGAATTGAGTGCTCAATTATAAGTATAAAAATGCGAACATGTCTTATCAATTAATTGTGTGGGATAAAATTAAAATAATGGAAATAATTGAATAAATATTTCATTTTTCTGAAAAGACATAAGCGAGAAGTTTTTCTTTAAAAATTATATAATAATCATGAAATAATCAAATGTATCCTAGAAAATTCGAGAATGCTAGCGATCGGGAACATGACTTACGCCATGAACTCAATGCGTCATTTCAGTCAACTTAAGTCTTTAACTTAAAATAATTAGTAAATATAATTTAAAAACTTTTTACTATTTTATCAATTATTCCCATCTTCTGGTATAAACAGATGGTAGTTATGTGTTGATTAGTATGTTTTTAGTTTTCGCCTGAACAATGTAACGTGTTAAATCCAATGGACTTCATCCATCAAAAAATTTATTATTATAGAGCCGATGAAAATACAAAAGAGCTCTTTTTTAAAGAGAATTAAAGCAAATAGAAAATCACTAGATTTTTGTTTTTCGATCTACTATCTTTCTATCCAAAGAAGACCATAAATAATATTATGCTATTTTGTACAAGCGGCAGAGAAAAAAATCTGTTTTTTTGTTTAAAATTTGTCCTTAAAAGGAGGGACAAGCAGCGTTAAAAAATACAAAATTTGATTGTATATATTCATTATAAGAGACAACAACAGCGTTTCATAGCTATTCCTTTTATATGATTTTTTTAGAATAAAAAAACAAAATTTTTTGTTTTAATTAATTTTCTCGTTTCTCTTCGTACATTCTATATCAGCATGGCATCATCATCTAACAAAATCTCATTTTTTTTAAATATATCATTAATTGTACTATATAAAACAGCGTGAGTAGATTTTTGAAGGAAATTTTTTAGCACAGTTTTCGCATGTCTTAAAACGCCTACAGATTTCTTTTGTCACATGGTAATTTCCGTTCTGTGTTTCTATGCCATGGATCGCTTAGTTTGATAGAAAAAAATATGAATTCCTTTTGTAATTCCTGTCTATCACTCGCAGGCATAATGAAATATTAAAAAAAAAAGAAGAAAATAATAGGATAATATGTTAGGATCATTAGTCAATGAAAGTAGCAGCATTTCAATGCTGGATGCTACGACATTCCATACATCAAACTCATACTAATGTCAGAGTTTAGTTCTTACTTGTCTTTTTCTCCACATTATTTTTCATTACCAATCGTCCGTATTTCTGAGTAGAAACGAGTTTGTAATACAGAGAGGTGTTGTAGTATGTATAATAATTTGGTTCTTCCCTCATCTTTTTGTAAGTACTGAAGCTTTCATTAAAAAGAAAAAGAATTTCTCTTCTTCTATTTAAAGCACTCGTTTGTTTACTTAGACTCTTCTACGTTTTCTCAACTTTACCTGCATCTTATTTGTGTGTGTGTTTGTGCATGATCTTCTATATTTTTGACCGTTACTTTAATAAAAATTTTATTTTATTGTATTTTATTAGCACTCAATTTTTCATCAACAAACAATGCAACAACTAGTACATATCGGCCAATAATACATAATGAAAAAATATTTACAGATGAATGGGCTAAAAAATTATTGTCAACAAAAGATATTTCAACAATAAATCAACAAGGTATGCGTCGACTAAATATTGATTTTTAAAACATATGAATTTTGAGATAATCGAAGAATAATGAATTATGAATACGGTGAGTAAGGAAAGAGCGAGTGATAAGAAAATAATCATTATACACCCTTGATGTTGAGTGTCTTAGCTCAACTAATTACGTATAGATAATAGATTATTTTAGTCACTAACTCCAATATACATGAAAATCGTTCTGTTAGTCTATCTGAACGCAAATTTCTAATTGTCATAGTTGAGCGTAAACTTCAGTGTACATAGAGAGTCTTGCCTGTATATGAATGAGCTTCACTCAGTAATTTGTTTTGATCATTATGATCAAATAGAACAGTTACTGTTACTATCGGTAACAGTGTCTCTTATGTAAGCGAAATTTTCTTTTTTGCTTATTTACTGTTTCCTGACTATGTAACATCTTTAGTCACATTCAAATACATTCAATTAAATTCAAATACAGTTGCCGCCTGCTGTTGTTGCTTGGCTATTCTATGAACTTTGCTTTTTCCATTTTCTGAACTATCATAATTTATTTGACAGTCACAAAATCGAATTCGTACTCGTATCATTTTGATCAACAAAAAATTTAGACCTCATACATGCAAAAATTTTCAATTTTAAAGGTTATAACCTGTTAAACTTGAGATTATTTTTTTAGATTAAAAATATTCTTTTGTACTTATCGACATTTTTTTCCTTTATAATCATATGAATAGGGCATATAATAACATTAATGTAGGAAAAATAACCAGAAGGAAGAGAGAGAGAGAGAGAGAGAAAGAAAGAATGAATGATTTTAATTGAAATTTAGAAGAAAAAAAAACAATTATAAAATTGTTCAATTGTTATTATTCGGTAATAACGCTACCAGTTTAATTCTGTAAAACTTTCCTTTGCTTTAGAAAACACCCTTCAATTTCGACCTGTTATACCTCGACGAAATTCAGGCACAACAGTTTCTCGGCTACCCTCAAATCCATGGTCAACTCCAAATATTAATACACAACCATACAACACAAATAATCACAATCACACTGATCTATTAAATAAACGTACTCATTACGATTTAGATCTTGAAAATGATGACGGAATTGATACTGCATTAGAATCAAGATCTATAAATACATTGGACGAAAGACTGTTACCAGTGGTAATTAAAAAATGGTTAAAATTCTCTGTCATTGTTTACATCAATACTTTCATTTTTTTTAGCAAGATTATAATAATCCATTAAAAAAACCCGTACATTCTGTTCACAATAGTTCAACAAGACGAAAAGCTGACAAAATCTTTAGTAGTGAATATGAATCATTATCAACACGAACATTAACACCTGAAAATAGTAACGAAAGTGGAGTTTATTCGCAGTATTCATCTGGACGAGAATTAGACTATACACATCAAAATAATTCTAATAACTATAATAATAATAATAACAATGGAAATATTGATGATCATACTTCGAGGTATTTAAACTACTATTGCTTATCTACAATTTTATTCTATTAAAAAATTACTTTCTTTCATATAGACCAAATCATATAACAGGCAAAGATCAATTATTTACAACTAAGCCTCGTCTAGCTCGTTCTGGTTCAAAAACTAAACAACAGTTATTTAACGATCTCTCATCATATAGACAATTAGATTTTAATCCCTCATTTCATCTACTCCCATCAAATACAAATGTTGAAATTGTTGGTAAAGGCTACATGGACGATAGACCAAGAAGACTATCAACAGATCCTGACGAAAAACCATTGATCAATAAAAATCGACCAAAAATAATCAAAGGTAGTGATAAAAATATAAAAGATAAGACGTCAGAATATATATCACTTTTTTTATGTTTGTTGTTAAGGATCTGTCATCACAACGCCTTTGGCTACAACTACACATACAAATGTTAGTAGTGAAGATTCAATCGGTGACGACGGACAAGAAATTGGTGTTATTGGAAAAGGTAAATTCTTTTTCTTTTATTATTATTTAATCCAATAAATGTACGACTGAAATCGTTCTTTTTATTTTTAAGCGGTTTATCTTCCTATACGAACAATTCGTGCAGAAACTGATCCATCAAAAATAAACTATTTACAACAACAAAAATTATCTAAACGAAGTGATAGTGAACTATTTTCCGATTTTGATAGTGATACCAAAGAAAACGAAAATGTAAGTGTATATGTAATTGTCTAACTCCAATGCTAATTATTTTAAGTTTAGAAAGAAATATTTCGGATCCTTAACTGTAGAGTATTATAAAATCGACTAATTTCATTTAAGTGTTACCTCAATCTTCATTTCTTGAACTTGTTAACAGTCGATATCTTAGAGAAATTTTATATTCTAGCATTTTTAAATACGGTGTTTATAATTCGGTACACACTAAAAATATTATCATCGACTCTCGTATCCACAACGTAGAGATGAATGGGTACAACTATTTACTCATACTCTAGGATAGAATCTAGAGTATGTGTACTTGTACTCACCCGTTTTGTTAACAAAGTACTGGAGTAGTTGATTTCAAAAATGTTGACTGATTTTCTATGAATAATTAAAATTTGTTCGTTGTTGAAAAATGATAAAAAAATATTTATTTTATTTTAAAACGCCTTTGGCACTTGAATAAAAAATTTTTGCACTCGAACTCGAAAAACCGTATACCCGGCATCTTCGCCTGAATGCTACATTAAGAATGCTTAAACTTTAATAATTATATTAATAATATACTCAATTTTTTGAAATATAGCACTTCAATCCTTGAGAAAGTATCCAAAATTGTGTACTGTAACAAACTAACTCTCATACATGAAATATCTTTTACGAGGCATGTATTAAAACAACTCTATTTTTTTACTTCAAATCTAGCAAGCAAATAAACACCTCATTTGCACGCAGGATGTATCACACTGTAAACTGCGAAATATCTTATAGAAAAAAAAGGATAATTTTCAAAGAATTCATATATGCAATCGTCGGTGACTTTCGCTTTCTAGACAATTTAATTTTCGAGTTTGAACATCACTTTCAACTTTACTCGTACAAGTATTTTTTAGTTCTTAGAAAATCGATTTTGATTTGCTATTCTTTACTTCACGGGTTTGTGGTTTCTGTTGAGTACAGTGCATCCAGCAACTCTCAAGACAATACAAAGTACACAAAATAAAATCAACATTAAAAATAAACTGCTTCGACTGATTACAAAATCAATTTTCTGTTAAAAATAAGGTCTTATTGTGTAACCCAAACTTTTCTCTACATAAGATAAACGTTATGTTCAACTCAAAATAAAATGTTTTCAAAAGAACAGAATAGTCCTAGAAGAAAAATCTTGAATATAGATCTTGATAAATCTTTAAAGAACTTCTGTAGATTTATCAGAATCGTCAAGATCCTGAATGAAAAGTAGTACTACAGATGTTCCACAAGTTTTGTATCAGAATCTGTCTTGATAAATCTGGATCAAGATTTGTGACTGATTCTGACGTTAGTATTAATTAATTAGCAGAATCTTGACAGATTTTCGACATCTGCATAAAATCTTGAATAGTTTTTTGGGTTTGTTAGGTATTATTTTCATTTATTTTTACCTACTGAATTCTACAGCACAAACTCTGCAGTACTGTACTGTACCAGCAGTACTGCATAATTTACAACTCTTATGGTACCATTCACACGATACTGAAGCTGTTCAGTCAGATGTTATGTCCATATGGGCATGAAGATTTCTCAATCTTTTTTACCGTGCGGATTCTGTTCCTTATATATATGGGTACTGCAAAACAAAAACGATAATAGAGACAACAACAAGTGTAATTTATTCATTTATCCATCTAGCAGGCCAATAGCATTCAAGGTCAGGTCCCAATGTAGTACCAAGAATATCAATACGTGTGAAATTCTTATAGTTACCCTTCTCTCACCTTCCTTGTCCAAAAAGGCGACTAATTTTCCTAATTAGTAATTATATCAATGGATATCAATTTTTTTGATTATCACAAAAAGATACTTTTGATGCAGTTGTGAGATGCGTCTTCATTTTTATTTCTCAACAAAGTATAATGTACAACACGAACATATTCATTGAGATTTTAACCAAATGAATAAAGCTGTGCTAACTTTCTTGGGAACGAATGCATGTGAATGTATCATTGGCTTTATCGTTCTCGTCGGTGGCTTATATTCAATAGTTTTCTGGTATGGCAACAATCCTGTTAGATTGTTGTACCATTATTAGTATATTCGTGTAAACATTCTGTTAGATTAGCAATTTTATTTAACTTGTGTCAAGTTAGCGATAAAACACGTATTCAACCATTAGGCAAACGAAAAGCAAAAGGGCGTCCCAAGAAAGTTAGCACAGCTTTATTCATTTGGTTAAAATCTCAATGAATACGTTCGTGTTGTACATTATACTTTGTTGAGAAATAAAAATGTGAGATGCATGCTGAAAAGAGTTTAGTGATCAAAAGTATCTTTTTGTGGTGGTCATTTGTATCTAAAGGTGTTTGGTGATCAAAAGTATCTTTTTTTAGTGATCAAAAGTACATTTACTTTATATCAATGAGTTCAGAAAAGTTGCTAGAATCTTTTCAAGATCTTGATCCAGAATTCTGAAGATACGTCAGACTCGGAACCGTATTAAATCTTGATCAGATTTGTTGAGGTATCTAAACCTGATGTTCTTGAAAATTCTGTATCAAGATCTTGATCAAACTTTCAAGATGCAAAATCTTTAAAGGACTTGTGTAGATTTTCGCTTTCTGCAAGACTTGGGAGCACCGTTAATATGCTACTTACTTTGAAAAGGTTGTTTTCACAGTTAGAACTGACTACCCTGATTCTCCTTTAATGGTGGTATACTCGTTTTATTTTTCAGTTAGTTGATCCTGGTCACTCACTATCAGCATCATTTCGCTTACGTGTACAACAAAAAACGCAAGAAAAAATTGAACAAAAGGAACGGCGTCGTCAAGAACGAGAAATTAAACGTCGTCAAGAACCTTTTCAACCAAAATCTAACATGACAAATAATTCAAATCAAATGTTGTATGATGAACAACAACCACCAACATCATCGTCTACTTCAACAAGTCGTTATTCGTCAAATCCCGATTTATCATCAGTAGCAACGAATAATGATTTACCACCAACTCCTAGACGAATAATAACCAATGATAATAATAATAATATTCTGCCTAATGTTGCATCACAACGACAAAAAATGTATAAAAACTCGTAAGTACACCACACCGCAGAAGAATTATTTATATTCTGATAAATAAGTAATAATTTTAGTATGGCAAGATCACAAACATTTAATAATCGACGTGATTTATCTACAACTGAACAACGTCTAGCATTCAATAGACCATTGTCTGAAGATCGTGTAACAGAGCAATTAAGAAATCCAGAGGCTGTTTATAGAGAAGCAATGGAATCCGTTGGATCTGATGATTGGTAAAATAAAAAATATAAGATGTCTAGAAAAATGATTGAACAATTTATTGTTTTCATTTAGGGAAAGAAAATGTTCTGGTTTAAGCCTCTTACAACGTTTAATTGCACAATATCCTGATTTAGTAACACAAAATATTCATCAAGTCGTTCTTATTCTAATACAAGAAGTAAGAAAATATTTCAACTTTAAGAATTTTCACACTCTTTATACTATCACACATTTTGATGTAGGTAAAAAATCTTCGATCTCAAGTAGCTCGTTTTGCAATATCAACATTTTCTGATATGTTTAAACATTTGAAACGAAACATGGATATTGAACTAGATCTAACTGTTAAAGCATTATTACAAAAGAACGGTGAAACTGTAGACTTCTTTCGGTAAGAAATTCAATTCTCTAGAAAATAAGAAACAAAGTTATGGTAATCACATTTATTTGTTCAGATCTGATACAGAAAAATGTTTACAAACAATGATTGATAATGTAACAACTCAAAAAGCATTACAAGCATTGATTGCTGGTGGTGCAAGGTAACGTGATTCTCTCTATTTTTTATGTATTATTGTTTGGTTATTTGGGGAGTATTTGTTTAAAAAATAGTCATCGTAATCCCGCTGTTCGTAAAGCATCAGCACAATTTATCTATGTTGTATGTGAAAAAATGGGTCCGGGAAAAATTCTAAGCGGCATCAAAGATATAACAGAACGAGTACTCCAAGTAGCAGCACAATTTGTATCAGATGGACCACCAGAAATAAGGTAAAGTATATTTAGTATTTATATGGTTACTGAATGTATTTTTGGGTTTTGAATAGGTGGTACGGTAAGAAAATTTATCAAATGTTAATATCATATGATGAATTAGATAGTATGATGCAACGATATTTAATTCCAGCAACGTATACACATATGAGAGAAGTATTAGATACGATAAGAGTTAAAGTAAGCAGAATAGAGTCTATTTGATGAACAAAAAAATAATTGATCATCTCTCTGGTATGTTCAGGGTGTCGGTGAAACGCCCAGTGAATCAGCTCGTAACAATGGTAGACGAGTATTATCCACAGATAAAATAGGATCAACTGGGTATAAACTGAATTTATCATTATTTTAAATCTGTTTTAAATTAATTAATTATTTAGAAATTTAACATCAAATCAATTTTCATCTATTCGAAAAATGAATAGTGCTGACCAAACGGAACAAATTCGAAATATTGTTAAACAAATGCGTAGTACAGATTTTCGTCAAAGGATGGATGGTGTTGAACAATTTCAAAAATTATGTGAATTAGAAACAGATGCAGCTTCTGTTTCTCTTGTACAGGTAAGTGTTATTAAATGTAGTTATTCATTTTTGTTAAAGTATAACTATTGAATATGTTTCAAGATATTTGATGCTTTCAATGATTGTTTGTCTGATATGAATTCAAAAGTAACATTAAAATCGTTGAATACAATGCATCAAATTGTTCCAATATTAGGTGATGCACTAAATGGCATAATTAATTCAACACTGCCAATTATAGCCCAAAACATAGCATCAAAAAATCATGAAATATCACAATTAGCATCGGATATTATTGATGCGGCAATTGAATATATCGGTAAGTACTATTACAAATTTGAATAAAAAGTTTATCATTTTATTCTATTTTGTAGATAGTGGTGTTCTATTGCAACCGTTATGTGCACTAAGTCAAAACAGTAATCCACGTGTTAGACCTGAAATTGTCCTTAAATTAGCATGTAAGTGTCTACATTTACGTATCTAAATCTTATAACGATAGTATATTCAATATTTTAGCTATTGTTCCAAAAGTATGTCAACGACGTCAGAAACAAGTAGAAATTCATTTATTACCAACATATTGGAAATTATTGGCACTATTACGCGGACAAACTTCTACAATGTTAAACAATACGAACACAACGATGACAACATCATCAGCTGGTGTTGGTAATTTAAATTCATCTATTCATACTCTCACGACAGCCTTATACGTTGAACTTGGCTCAGTATTAATTGAAAAAGCTAGTTCATCATCAGCTGTAGCACCAAAAAATCTTCAATTATTACGAGAATTATGTACGAATATTGATGCCGTATAACGATTGCTCTTTATTTTGATTTTGTTTAAATTTTTTCTACGTGTTATGGATATATATATATATATATATGTATACGTACGATCCAAGTTTCACGATCTAAAATAATCCTGTTTACTTCACGTCCGTTAGTATCAATCGGTTAGGAGCAAAATTATATTTCACTCTCGATTATCCTCACCTTTACAAATTTACATCAGCGACTCATTTATTATAGATTTATACGACAAGCGGACTCTGACTTATACGTCATTCAAAACTAAAATTACTTCTTCTGATCGCTTATACAATGATATCTTTTATCGAATTATTTTTAAGGTTGTACGTTGGTTGTTTTACCTGGTGGCTATGCAGACTAGTTGGTCTAATTTTCTTCTTTTTCTTGTATGTAAATCTTTCAACAGTTGTGATTCTTTTTTTCTTTCTCTCTTCTTGATCTGTTCAGATCTAAGCTTGTTTTTGTTGTTTCTATATTTGTTCATGTCTCGGCCTTTCTCCTGCCACACTCTTGTAGATTTTCTCACATCATATACTTAAAACTACCTACTTCACATTTTTCACGAAATATGCTCAACAAGTTTATTTATATAGGAGAGACTAACAGTGTAGTGTGTGTGCCTTCAAAGCAGTGACATTGATTATGGATCTTTGTTCGACTTTTTAGGACTCCTGTTGTACTTTTATTTTAAAATTATGATGAAAACATACTTTATATATTTTGTGATCTCTGTGTTTTTTCTTTATGTTTTTATTTAACTATACTGCATATGTGTGCGTGTATTTCATTATTCAGTTCGCGCGCTTGCTTCTTCTTGTTTGCAGCGGCATTTGCTAATGTAAATGATATCGGGAGAATGATATGATATGACGAGAATAATGAAGAAGAGAAGTTATCGTCTTGCATTTCTTTAATTCAACGGAATTTTCTCTTTGAACCTATTCGAAATCGATATAGTTTATTTTTAAACTAAAAGTCAACTGTGTCCCTCAAAGATTGGACACTCAACTGAGTGAAAAGATAGTTGGAGTGTTACAATACAAAGCAAGTCCTGAACAAAAATGTGGACGATGTTCGAATTCTTTACAAAGTAGCGGCGTCTATTTCTAGAGAATCAGTCGCTGACTCACGAGGAAATGTCCCCAAATGTGCAATCGCTTTTTGCTTGAAATCTAGTAGACAATAGGTAATCGACTGCGCTAAATCGGTTTGTGCTTCTAGGCCTCCACAGACCGGGTTTCTGGAAAACCAGGTTTTCAGAAACTCTAAAAAATAACCAAAACCTTTCTTAATGAGGCACGATTGTAGCTCGCATATTTCTGATCAAAATGAGATATCTCTCAGCTCTACATGACCTTTCTTTGCAAAGTTATAGAATTTACACGAAAAGCCCTAAATTAATTTCTTCTTATTTCTATAGTTTTGAGTTGACAAAGAACATTTAGGGTTAGAGGCCAAAAACAGTTTCTTCTAATAAATTCGCAATGAATTTCTCTGATACGAAAAATTTCCATTGCAAAGTTCGTCTTATAAACACTTAATGCTATTGAACGCGCTAAGAAATTTTAATATATTCAAATCCATTAAAATTCTTTAATTCATGGAAACATATTAAACTCTAATGCACACCTAAAATTTATAACGAATAAATCTACAATAAGAGCTGATCATTGCATAGTTATGTGATAAACTTTAGTGCTGATGATCATTGACTGAAACATATCTCGGTCGGTTTCCTCTTTAAAAGAAAAGTGGATTTGAAATTATTTGCTAATAAATTAAGGTACTCCACCTGTCACATTCACAGGGATTATACTAGCCCTGAAATCTTACCATATACATCCGAAGTGCAATATTTTTCTATAGTTGAAAAGTGTTGACAACGATCTATCCATTCATATACTATATGTGCAAAAAAATACTAAACTTCAATCGAAAATGTTATGCATAATTTTCTTATGTTAATCCTATTGATTGTAGGTGTCATCCATGAAAATGTGACAGGAATGTCAACTGTCGAGCTTTTAAACCAAATCTCTTCTAAACAAAACTCAGCACAAATACTGCAATACTTTCAGAGGCAAATGTTCAGTTTGAACGTCTACAATTAGTCATACTAATGAACAATACCATATCACTTTAGAATTTGTTATATAAATGCCGCTCTGGCATGCAAACTTAGGAAACGAATCCATCGTTCGCACACACTTGGTTCTTCACTGCGACTAGAGAATCGTATTCGATTCTTTTTTTTGTTTTTTACTATTTAACAATTAATTGTTTAGGGCAACATCATTATAAAGTACATACAAAATATAGTTTGAAAACTGTTTTATAAGCAAGATTAAGAACGAAATTTTTCAGACAGTTCATGTTTGAGTTTTCATGTTGGGGTTCTTTGGTTGTGTTCTCACTTCCACATATGTTTTTCATCGGCTCCCGATATCGAACTCATTGTACCCGATCGTCGTTCAACAGAAGCCAAAGATGATTGTGCATTGAATTCTTCAACTATTGTGCCTTTTTTGCTCGTAAAATTCGTCCCAGTCGTTGAGCTTCTTGACGTCTTGAAGCACCATGACTGGAAATTTGTATAAGCACATTAGCATCAGGCAAATCAAATGATGTATCTGCAACTTTTGAAACAAAAATTGTATTTATACGTGGATTATGTTGAAAATTTTGTAATATTTGTATACGTTCCGATTCAGATGTTTTTCCATAAATATATGGCTTATCTAATTTTTTTACATACGTTTCCAATGCAAACGTACTATCAGAAAAAACAATTATTTTGTCATTTCTTCTTTTGTGATAACGTATTAAAAATTGACAAGCACGAAATTTATTTGGATTCATAGCACAAAGTAAAACATGTCTGTTATTCATTTGAACTGTTACATATTCTTGAAAAATTTTTGGCGTCATTTGACACCAAACTTCGGCACATTGTACTTTGGCTCTATATGTCCAAAATTTTGTAATTCCATCCAATTTGCTTCGTAGAGTTTAGATCCAATTAAAAAATTTAAATCTGTTATTTTATCATCTTCACGAACTAACGTTGCCGTTAAACGAAGTTTACAATGTGCACAATTGTTAAAACAGTTCGAAACATTTTTGCTGGAATTGTATGTGCTTCATCCAACAACATTAAACCCCATTCACGATCTGTCAGTTGCTCCATAACTTCAGCTGTTTCAACATTGCGTCTTTGTGTATGAGCGATCATCGAATATGTACTAACAACACATACGAAATTTATTTCTAAATTATCACCGTTCGACGTCAGACGACAATTTTGAATTTCTGGATCTTGTAAAAAACGTTGCAAAACGTCAGGAAATGTACTTTCGAGAGAATAACGATTGTGTTTCAAAACAAGTTTTACTCTGACATAACTGAGTGTACATAATTCAATAAATTTGATAATTTCGTTTGGTATCGTTGTTTTACTCAATCGTTGTAAATATTCGATTATATCTTGTGTTTGTAAGCCAACAGACACCATTGCATATAATTAATGGGCTGAAAATTTGTATTCGTGAATATATTCTGGTCGACAAACAGGTTCAGCAATAGCGATAAGAAAATCGTGAGCATGTTTATAAACACTTGAAAATGATTTCAAAAATATATGACCATCGGATGTCATTCATAAGGGACGATTTTCATGATCATCTTTCAATTCTATTTCTTCACGAAAATCTCTAAAATCTTTACTTGATATTGTACCCGCTGTTGTTTTTATTGAATCATCATCAATACCATCGTCAGCAGTGGAATTATCTATGCGCCGTGAGGCAGCTTTTGGAACTAAATCCTGATCTTTCGTAACATTCACATCATCGACATAATCATCATTATTAGGTTTGAAAGATTTTACATTGCAACTTTCGCGTTTACATTCAGCTGGATGTTTTATCATTTAGAGACTTTTTTCACTTGGGATTTGGTTGTATAAATATAAATTGATAAATGCGAAGGCAACAGTATCAAAAGCAATTATTACGGCAAGAATGATATCCTATGACTTTAAATATGGTGTTAGTCTATTTTGAGTTTTTTTCATCCCTTTATAATATGCTTAATCATCCTTTGTAGACAGTCCTAAGAAGCATAGATCTGTTGCTTTATTGATGACACATACACTACGGTTATACTACGCAAATAATCACGATTATCTTTAATCGTAATTAAAAGATAATCGTGATTAAACATTTTCTAGTGCAACCGCAATTTTTTTGGATCATGATTAACGATATTTAATCACGATGAACAGAATTGTGTGTAACCGCGCTAATCACGATTAAAAAGATAATGAAAAAGATAATCGTGATTTAACTCGTGATAGCCATAAGTATAAATACGCAGTGCGCAGGAGAAAACTCATTTTTGTGTTGGCAAAGTTAACATGAATACAGTAACACTCTTTAATCTGATCAATAGATCTTGACACCGGCTACTAATAAACCTTCTTGTACTTTTTTTCGGGTGCCACGATTCCGATGATTTGCTATTTCATTCGATATCATTTCATCTTTAACAAATTTAGCAGCAAGTTTGTTTGGTCCTCAGACCACCAAGATCTTTTTGCCTTCGTTTTGTTCTTGTAACTCTGCGTGGTCATTTTTAACAAAAAAAAATTATTATTATAAAATTATTGTTAGTTAATTATTTATCCATCTGTAACAGAGTATAGTGCTGCCAGAAAAATTCTTTAGTAGGTAAAACAGAGTTCAGGCTGATTAACTATTGCAGTTGAGCAGTCATATGCAAGCGCCTCTATCATGATTCTTTTCTTGATAGAGGCGGTTAAAGTTAACCGCGATTAAGGATAATCATCTTCCGAACATGATTATCTTTACTCATGATTTTCGAAATAATCGTGCTTAAGGTAACGGTTATACTATTAGTTTAATCACGATTGAAGATATCACGATTGTTTGCGTAGTGTAACCATAGTGATAGATCAAGCAGCTAAAAAAAACAAGATACATCATGTAGATATATTTTTACTTCTATTTGCAATGATAATTCATTGAAGACATACAAGAATACAAAAATAAACAAAAAAAAGTTCTTTTCATTTTCTCGCATGGGCAGATAGAGTTCTATATGTGTCACATGATAAATCAATATACGCTACAGTTCTAATATAAGCAGTTTCCATTCTTACCTCTTTAAATGTGTATATAATATAAGCGACTTTAAGCAGTGACGAAGGAGCAAGACATTTAACAAACTCGCACATATTCCGTTATTTATATTTGTAACATCACCTTCCAAGTAGCGTATTCTGCAAAAGTGAATCTGCAAAACATTTCACCACCGAAATTCAACCTAAGTCATTTCTGATTTCATTGTGCGATTTCGCCTGACCTGCATTGACCACACCTAGACAAAA